ATATATATTTACACCATTTCCAAGACTTTATTTAAGTAGTCTAAAGTGTATAGGCTTTTTTAGTGTGCAGCTATACATTATTAAACACACACTTGCCAGGCATTTGTAGATAAGCCAGTGTTTGCTAACTTCACTTGCTCGTTAGACATTCCTGCTGCTAACTAGCTGCATATGCCAACAATAGCAAGTCATCAACTCTGTGCCTCTTTTGGGTGAGAGTAAACCAATGATCCTGTAGATGTCAGTGCAATTTGATGTGTGTCTGGATTATGGCTGGAACTATTAATTTAGTAATTGAATATTATACCGATGAATCCATTGATTGACAGAGTAATTGAATGAGAAATACTCTTGCCTCATTAAAGAGCAATGGTAAATATACAAAAGCAAAAATAATACCGGTCTCTTAAATAAACAACGAAATCCAAATTTTTATTGCTTAAGATGTCCCACTGTAGTAATAATACAAGAACGTATTCTGTGTTACATTGACATGTTTTGTGATTATCATGTACATATTTTAAACAACAGCTAAACAATTTATATTCAGAACTTTTCTGAAACATTCAGTAAATTTCCAACCATTTCCAGGTTTCTCATTTCCTATGTAATGACCATGGAAATTCATAGTATCTATTTATATGCAGATGACACTGTCTTGTATGTGCTCCGCTCCTCTTCAGCTTTAATATATTAAACATAGTCAGCAGCACATCATCAAGAGCTCGGCCACAGAGGAGGTTAGAGGAACTCTAGAGTGTTATATTGAGATAGACATAAAAACATGTGAACTTAACCTGTCATTTTTTTGTGTGCGTTTAGGCCTCAGACGGACACTCCGGATCCTCCCAACTGGTCCAAACCTCCTGTTCTTCCTCCGTCCTCCACCTCCGTCAGCAGGAGCAACTCCGCAGCCAGACCTCCTGCCAACAGGTCAGCTCACACATCATCCATTCATCAAATCATCTCAAATCAAATTGATCAAGTGTTTGTATTCAAAGTCATCACATTTATCTCCACTATTGTCATCTTATTAAAATTTTTAGTTCAATTTTTCACGATAAAACAGCTGTAAAATGATTAGTTTGTGCAAGCTATTTGATAATAATCAGATTTTTGTGTGTGGTTTGGTTTTACAGGTTTGATCCAAGGAGGGAGGTAAGTTTCTGCTCTGAGAGACATTTATTCTGATGTTGAATTTGTCGAGAACAAACTGTGATCCTTTCTCTGATTTCTTCTCTCTCTGCAGCAAACACATGATGAAGGTGAGATTTCTTTTCTCTGCTTTTCCCAAAGCATATCACAAAATATTAGATTGATTCTTTAAACCTGTCTTCTCTCTTCCAGCACTGAAACACAACACCTTCCCCCTCCACAATAAAAGTCTGCCACCCCGTCCTGGACCCCACGGGCTCCCCTCACGGCAAGCAGACAGGTATGAAAAAAGTAATGGTGAAATACTAATTTTTGAAAGCATCCTGTCAGTGCTGGAGTACCACAGAGTTCTATTGTTGGCCCAGTTTAGTTTAAAAAACAATTACGAAAATATGTAAATAAATAAACATTTTTAAACTGTTTTTCAACTTGTACATTGTATGCGAGGAAGTTGTATTCAGCTACCTTGTCTTGACGCATCTTATTTTTTATTTTGATTCCACCAAATCTCTAAATTTGAAAGCATTTGAGTTTATAAATAATTTGTTGGCTGATTTTTGATAAGCAGCTTTTTAAATGATTCTTAAAGCTCTCTTCTGTAGCATGAAAATTTGCAGTTGTTTTGTATCTATTTCTTCGAACCTCCTCACAGTAGGTAATGTATGGAACTATGTAAGGGTGATGCAATATATATAAGTACTTAAGGTTCTTTTGTTTTGTGCATTGTTGCAATAGAGCTTGACATTTTTGGCATCATTTATACGTGGTTTCCCACATTGTTTATGGTCTATTACAACTCCCCAGAATGTATTTTCATAAACTAAAAATTATTGATTTTCACTGTCCTCATGGTGATAGAACCCAAGATGTAGAAAAACAAGGGCTTAGTGGCACCCACAGGTGGTGACCTTAAGTAAAATGAATCAGGCAGATATGATGAATAATCTGTTTTATTTTGTTTGTTTTTGTGCAGTTTGCCTCCCAGCATTCCCTCTGCAGGTTCTCTGCCTCACAAACTGCAATCTGGTAAGAACACAATGACACAAACATTAAAGGAACAGTTTGAGGTTTTTGGGAAATGTACTTTTTCTGTTTCCTGCTGAGTGTAAAGTCCCATTCACATGGGATTAACATCACATCAGATGTGTGTTTTGCATTTTGCATTAGTGTCAAATGTTACTTATTTTTCAGTGTCTGAGTCAATATAATAAAACCAAACAACACTGCTTTAATGTCAATGTACAGTTCTGTCTTTTATTTATTTATTTATTTTAGGTGACTGTTAAGATATAATTACCACCATACACATAACTCGCAGTTATGACCCGGTGGATGTGGGAAACGGGATTTTTGCTTTGGGTTCCAAACAGTCTTGTGATGTCCTTTTAAAAACAGTAGAGGGTGCTGTCTTACTATTGTAGTTACAGTATTGCGTGTGTGTGTGTGTGTGTGTGTGTGTGTGTGTGTGTGTGTGTGCAGCGATTGCTGAACAGAGAGGCAGTTTTATAGGATCAGACAGACCGTCGTTTCGTCCTTCTCTACCCACAACAGCACCAAAACAGGTAACAGAGCACACTCATACATTGTCTGTTTGTACATGTGAGGATCCTAAAAACCCTGACTCCAACTCTGATTCTAAAACCAAGTCTTAACCTTCAGACATCTCTTTGATGTAATAGGGCAACCAAATCACCAGAATAAATGTCAGCATTGTACGTTTTTGCAAACCATGGATACAATAACTTTTATGTTCGTTTGTAGTGGATATTTGGACACGTTACATTTCAGCAATGCTGTGGTTAAGTTTGGGCACAAAACCACTTGCTTATGGTCAAAAGATCCTGTTTGGGCTTAAAATACCCGATTTTGGTGGCACAATCCCAGCAGGAAACACAGCAATGTCTTGTTAAAAAACAACTTCTATTCATGGCACTATCCCGGGAGGAAACGCGGCAATGTCCCAGTAAAAAACAAGCACTTTCTATGGCACTATCCTGGCTGAAAACATAGTAATGTCCTGGCAAAACAAAAACACTTTTTTTTGGTACTACCCAGCAGGAAATGCAGCGATGTCACAGTAAATAAACACCCTCTTTTTGTGGCACTATCCTGGCAGGAAATGCAGCAATGTCCTGGTAAAAACCAACCACTTTTTGTGTTCAATCCCGGCAGAAAATGCGGGGATTTCATGAAAAAAAAAAAAAGAACAATGGCTTTCATAGCATTATCCTGGCTGGAAACATAGCAATGTTTCGATAGAAAACAATCACTTTTTGTGGCAATATCCTGGCAAGAAATGCTGTGATGGCACAGTTGGGAAAAAAAAGCATAGGTATGAATGTAATGTATCTGTGGTTTGCAGAAACGTTCAATGCCAACATTTTCTTCTGGTGTCTTGGCCGAATGGGGACCAGTCCGCACAATGCAAAAAGGTCCTCGCTACGATGGTGAAAATTGTTGGTCCCCACAAAGAAAGCAATACAGAAAGTCTCTTATCAACTTCTGAGCTTCACAAACACTAAATCCATTGCACACACCTTAATTTCCTCAACTTTAGATTACTGTAATTGTCTGCTAAGTGGCATAAATCAGAGAATGACTCTGAGACAGCTGTACTACTTACAAAAAAACAAGAAAAGAGATCATATTACTTACTTCTTAGTGTCATAATTAAGAGTCAATTCTGACATTTTTACTTGTAACCTATAAAACACTTCATGGCCCCAGGCAGTGACTCTGAAATGCTGTGTCCTTGTAATCCTGCACACAGTCTGAGGTCACCTGTTTGCTGTTAAAGTTGTAAGATTAAAGAGAAATCAGTGTCATGCACATTTTGTACCATAGGCCTCATAAAAAAACAACAACTTTGTCCACGTGTGTGTTTATGTGTGCAATTCAAATGTGTGTATGTTGTGTTTTTCTTCATTTCCTTTAGTCCTTGTAAAGCACTTTGTGATCTGTGGTTTTAATCAGTGTCATAAAAATAAACTTTGTAATTATCATTATTATAAAGAGGGTTAAGTGTTGAAACTGTTTTTGTGGATGTTCTTCAAAATGAACAGCAGATGGTGCTGTTGTCTTTTTCTAATCTAAGTCTAATATATATGTGTGTGTTCAGGACCTGGACCCGCGCTGGTATGTGGGTAAAGTGACCAGAGGTCAGGCAGAAGGATGTCTGAAACAAGTCCGCAAGGTAACACAAAACAGGCAGTTAAACAAAAGTCTGTGTTATTTTAAAGGTACTTTTTAAATTACTTAGCATGCAATAAATTTGGATATATTTAATTTGACTACCTGTTTACACCAAGATAAGCTTTTAACCATTTACTTCAGTAAAAGTAAAATGTTCATGTTTATTATAATACTGTATATATTATGTGGTTATTAGCATTCCTGCATTAAGGTGTAAACTGTTTATATTTTAATACTGTATTTGGTGAAGGTTAACTGAATTTCAGCTACAAACTGTGGTGTGGTTCAATGTGAAGCAGCTATAATTTTTAAGTCCAAAGCCTCATACTCTCTGTACGATATACAGTTATAGCTGTTTTTTTTAATTTATTTATTTATTTATTTGAACATGTGAAAAAAAATAATAATAAAATAAATAAATAAAAATAAGCAATTGATTAAAACAATTAGAAAGAGAAGAAAACAATATATTTACATCGCATTACATGTTCAAAAGGAGTAGGAAGAAGTATAAACTTATCTGGTCCTACCCCTTGTTCACTCAATATTCATATCAATAATAATAATAAAATTAAATAAATGTAGTGCAGTAAAAAGTAGTTAAAAAAGTATAAAAAGTATTTAAAAATGTGTCTGAATATAGAATAAAATGGCATAAAATGGAAGAAGTAAAGCAGAAGTTTCACAAAAATGTATTTATGTAGCTTAAATGCTTAGTAGTATTTTTACACCAGTTTTTTTAGGTCAACCCAATCACCAGAAAAAATATTGGTATTGTACATTTCTGCAAACCACGGAAACATTACATTTATACATATTCATTTATTTGTTTATTTTTAATCAATTTATTAAACATGTTGAAATAATACAAAGACAAAATTCAACTTATAAGCAATAAAAACAAAAACAAAAGGGATCCTCAGCAACATTAAAGCAACAAATGAGCAACTAAAATAATATCGCTCATGTTCAGAAGGGGTAAGGAGAAGTTAAAACTTTTCTGGTCCTACCCCCTCTTAATTCATTCATTCATTCATTCATCTTCTAACCGCTTCATCCTCTTGGGGGTTTGCGCGGGGGCTGGAGCCTATCCCAGCTTACATCGGGCGAGAGGCAGGGTACACCCTGGACAGGTCGCCAGACTATCGCAGGGCTGACGCATAGAGACAAACAACCATTCACACTCACATTCACACCTACGGACAATTTAGAGTTATCAGTTAACCTAGTCCCCAATCTGCATGTCTTTGGACTGTGGGAGGAGGCTGGAGTGCCCAGAGAGAGCCCACGCTGACACGGGGAGAGCATGCAGGCTCCGCATGGAGGGGCTCCCACACCCAGGATCGAGCCGGCAGCCTTCTTGCTGTGAGGCGATAGTGCTAACCACTACATCACCGTGCCGCCCCCCTGCCCCCTCTTATTTTATTTTTTTATGTCTCTATGTATTAATCATAGAAAATAAAAGTTAAATTTACAGCCATTAGTGTCCATAATAGTGATCTCAGTCAGCTTAACCATATCAACCCTTTTGGACTTTGTTTTTTTGGAGGAAAACATCATGTTTTGGCTTAAAATAACTGATTTTTGTGTTAGTATGCTGGCTGGAAATGCAGTGATATGTCCGTAACATCACAACCATTTTTCTGTGGCACAGTCTTGGCTTGAAATGCAGCAATGTCTCTGTAGAAAAAACAAACACAGCAAATTCTCATTAAAAGACAACCAATTTCATGGCAGTATCCCAGCTGGAAATGCGGTGAAGTCTCAACAAAAAAAACCCATTTTGTAATACAATACAAAATACAGTTAGAAAAAACACTTTTTGTGGCACAATCCTGGCTGGAAACACAGTGAATTTTTAGTAAAAACTCATTTACATGGCAGTATCTCAGCTGGAAATGCAGCTAAGTCTCTGTAAAAAACAGTTTTTCTGTGGCACTATCTCAGCTGAAAACGCAGCAATGTCTTGGTTGAAAAAACACATTTTGTTATACAATACAAAAAACAGTTTTTTGTGGTACAATCCCGGCTGGTCTTGTTATTGATCGCTCTCAACCAATTCAGCTCATATACTGCATCACTTTAGGAACACTGATATGACATGAATGAAACAAATGAATGCAATGTATTCGTGGTCTGCAAAAATGTAAAGTGCCAACATTTTCTTGTGTAACTGGGCTTTAGACGTCCATCCCTTATGTATTATTCTGTGTCTCTGTGGAGGACGGGGCGTATCTGGTGAGGGACAGCACCCGGCAGCTGGCCAATCAGCCCTTTACCCTGATGGTCTACTACCAGGACAAAGTCTACAACATCCAGATCAGACAGCAGAACCAGAAATTCCTGCTGGGAACCGGACTCAAAGTCCAGGAGGTAAACATGTAGTAACAGAAGAAGTACTGTTATGTACTGAGAGCCGAACCTGTTCTGTAATAACTGAATTAAGTTTGTATTTTAAGGAAAAATCTGAGGGTTTTCCCTTTCACTTAAATTTGCAGTCCAATAAACTCCTGTATAATCATGCGTTTATGTGTGTGCAGTCTTTCCCCTCAGTGAGTGACATCATCGGCCATTACTCCCAGTCTCCTCTGCTCCTCATCGACGCCAAGAACCGCACCTCCAGCCAACAGAACCAGTGTCTGCTCTCAGACCCAGCCGGATACTACATGACCAGACATTAAACGTCCTGACCGGATAAACCGGAGCACAGAACTAAACCAGAGAGAAACCCGACAGGCAGAATTCAGATGAATGTTCACCTCAAATGTTACATTAGCAGGAGCGTTGATATGTTTGTGTTGTTCATGTCAAGTTTTTTTTTCTGTTTTAACAAATGACAAATGTCAGATTTTTGCACACGTTGCTTCATTTGCTTATTTTGACCATTTACAAACTACAGTTTCATCATTGTGTCAGCTCTCTGTTCTTTGAGTTTGAAAGGTTGGAGACTGCAACATTTGATTCTATATTAACATATAACATTGAACATTTAAATGTAATATTGAGATTTAACATTTAACATTTAGATTTAACATTCAAAAGTTAGATCCGATATTTAGATTCAACATTAAAATTAAACATTCAACATTTATATTTAATATTCAAAATTTAGATTTAACAGTTAACATTTAACATTCAACATTTAGATTTAGTATTAAGAATATAGAGCCAATATTTACATTCAACATTAATATTAAAAATTCAACATTTATATTTAATATTTGACGTTAAATGTTTTATTTTGATCTAACAGTTAACATTTAGGTTTAATATTCAAAATTTACATCCAACATGTATTAACATGTATTAACATGTAACATGAATTGAAAATGAAATGAAAAAAATGAGCTAAATATTTAAAATACATCAGAAAATTGTAAACAAATGTTTACATTCCGCGCTCCATATGAGACGATAAACCTTTCAATAAAAAGTCTAAAACATTTCCGATCGGAAGTTTTAGATTTAAATGTACATCAGTACATGATTTTGGATAAATGCTGTATGTCTATAGCATTTAGTTAAAGTACATTCCACATTCAAACTATGCATGTTAATGGCTAAAACCTTCCTTGTTCTGTCTTCAGCTAAGCTAAAAAAATATCCCAGGTTTCATGATTGTATTTACAGCTCCATTTTGTTTGTTACAGATGAAGTCTCAAAGTCTTCCAGTATTCAGGCTCCATTTTGTGCCTTCTGTTTGGGACGTTTTCAATTCAGTGTAAATGTGTCAGATTTGACTTGTTTGTCCCTCAGCTGTTTCATTAAAACCTTGTGAAAACAACCGCAGCGTCCTGGTTTCTCTGTGCGGGAGCAGCATGTTTTCTGATTCTGTCTATGGCCCACGTTAGCACCCCCTTCAGGCTGTAATGATCATCATACCGGGAAACTAAACTATTGGTAGATCTTCACCATTAATCGGTTAAAAAGACACTGCCTATACTAGCAGTAAGTACGTATTTGGACAAAATATAGCATATAATATGCAGTGTGCAAAAGCAAAATCTCTAGTATGTCAAAAATATACTGTATACTAGTCCATACCCATTGAGTGCACAGCTGCCCACGCACAGTTTCACATGGTGTGTGTTCGGGATACAGGTCACAGGAAATTGCAGATTAAATAGTCAACTGAACCCATTAAGAAGAGCAATGTATTCAGACAGAGTTTTTGTGAATTTGATAGTACAATTGCTTTATTGAAAGTACAGTAGTACCATTGCCAATAGTGGGATAGATAGTGGGCTAAAACTGTACATTAGCAGTTGAGGTAGCACGTTGAAAGGCAGATATGCCCATTCAAAGGTTGCAATTTCAATCTGTTGCTATAGCGCCCCCCTTTGGCCAATTGATGTAATATTGCTTCATTCCCATCCTCCCATGACCCTCTACCAAATTTCACATGGATTGACCAAGTCAGTGAGGAGAAAAACGTGGAACAGACACACAGACACCCACAGACAGACAGAGTTTTCGTCATTATAGTAAGATATACTGTATCTACCTTATTTTCAAACACGGAAGTAAATAGTGATCAACTTCCATTTTTTTGTGCATGACTTCCGGCCATCTGCTTTCCCTCATGCTTTCCCTTACTGGAGCTAACGGTGCAAGCTAATTTTTTTCAATTTTCAGTTGTTTATGTTAGTCAATCAGTTAGTTAGTTAGTTAGTTAGTCTGTGTATTTTGTATAACGTTAGATAACTGTGCCCACGTTTCCGTTATAACGGAAATTTATTCCCCCTAAACGTGAATAAATCGCACGTCAATCATAAACTATGAACCCAAAAAGCACAATCTATCCCGAGTGAGACAAACTGCTTGATCCCCGTCTCCAGCGTACCGGCAGAGAACCTGCAGAACCGAATCAGCGAAAAAACACACCGGGCTACACAGCCTCTCTACCTGAGCAGCTGAAGCTGCGGCTCACACCCTCGACACACAGACACACAGACGGTGCTTCTGCATGCCAGCCAAACGTGTGCGCAACTGTGAGAAATAAATATGTGAGGTGTACGCTGCTTTTCTATCTTTTTTT